CCCACCCCCCCACTGTTCCTACCCTTTTCCCACCAGCACAACCACATGTTGGCACAAAATGAACAGAAAATAACCACACTCAGATCTGCCTGCCACCCGCTAGTGGAAACTGGGAATTCACTGGAATTCAGGGAACTGGAGGCAGGTCACATGCTTTATACCCATAATACCGCAATTTATCTGCACAGTTGATATTTTAGAGTTTCATGTATATTGTTCAGTTTCCCTGAAATCAACCTTTAAAAAAAAAAAAAGAAAAGAAAAACCCACAGTCTTTCGGGGGGATCAGAAACCAATTTCAGGAAACACTACCAACTTTGATGGTAAATGCAGCCACTGAGAGTAAATGTATTTATGTGTATATGTGTGTGTGTGTGTGTGTACCGGACTAAGTTTTTTATTGAGTTTTGTACAGAAACAGAGGAGGAAAAGCGTTGAATGCTACACAACTTACTGCTGGAATACCACATTGCTATACATTGCAGACTTACCAGTGGCATGTTTTTAGTATGGTCCATGAGCAAGCAAAAAGTGAGGACATGTTTTTTCCAGTGCTTGAACCAGGCTAGCTGCTTTTTCCAGTCCTGACACCTGGAATCCTCCAGTGCAGGGATCCCTCAGCATTGCCCCACCAGCACAGTGCACAGCCTCACTCTGGGCTTCCCCGGTCTGTGGCCCGATGGTCAACAACTGTGCGGGGGAAAACAGGACACTAAGAAAGTAAGGGTAAAATATGAGAGGAATAAAAAGCCAAAAAGAAGGGAGGAAAACAGAGGGAGTTAGGTGGCAGCCATTCAGCTAATTCAAAATTTGTAACACAAATGTATCTAGAAGTGAGCGTCAAACGTCTTTGTTTTTCTTCTCTTCAAAAATAAGCTAATTTTAGCAGTAAAGCTAAGGTCTGGGCTCCACTGCTCTATTCTGGGTGCAAGCCTGCATTTCCATTTTGCTAAAAACATCTATTTGGAGATCTTTGCTCAACCACTACTAGCAGCATTTTGGATATGGAAGTCAAATCTAATGTGAAGTCACGTTTGTATCCTTCCATAGCCATGGCATATCCATCACATTCCTATTAAAGAACCAGTACATACTACAGAACAAAATGTTAACCTTGCTCAACAAAGAAAAAAATTCCTGAGAAACATCCTAAGATCACAGACATTGTACTACTGTTACTGTGTTTGTACTACTGTAACTGGAAATCGTCTGAAGGGCTCTGATGAACCTCCTGCCAAGCCTTTAGCAAAGAAATCTAAACTCACAAAAGATGTCCTCTGAAGGCCTCTGAAGCTAGGCAAACCTCTCAGGATGTGCAGGACCTTGTCTGTAAGTGCATGCTCCACCTTTGCCATGTGTAAGTCACAGCACTCATGAGCATTAGAAAGGGACAGAGCTCTCACTGACTAACTGGAAAATCCATATTCCCTGTTAGTATGTTAACCTTTCCTTATAGACTCAGAGAGAGAGGATGTAAACTATTTATATGGGAAATCATTAGAGAGAGCATAGGATTTAAATATACATTCATCAGTTTATTGGTATTTCTTGGTATTATTGTAGTAGGTGCTTAATTGCATCTGTTTGCCTATAAAAGTTCTTGAGAGGAAAAGTCCTAACACTTACCATTTGAAGAATTATATCTGCTTTTTCTTGACACGTTATCACCCAGCTAATCTGAATTTTTAAACTGGTGATTAGAGAAATCTAATTATGGAACTTCAGCTTAGATGTATACTAAACCAGCAATCACCTGAAGGCTGCATTAATTTATGTTGAATGGGGCTGTAATATCAGGAATATAGACATCATTCTGTTTAGAAGTAAACCCAGAAAGTCATGGACATAGTTTTGGTATTGCTGCAGAAACTGAGAGGTTACTCAGGCCATACTCCAAGTCATGGTATGAGACAGAGCCAGAACAGGACAGCTAGAGCAAAGAACTACTAAGTAAAAAAATTAAACTGTTTGCACCTAAGAATAGCTCCAGCCACCTTACCAAAAGTTTTTACTGTGAATAAAGTTGTATTAGAATGACTTGTGGTTTGAGGTCATCACATGTCACTACTCATATGTTCAGTAAGTTTTTGAAGGTTACCTTGGCAAGCTCGATTCAAGTCATGTATATGACTAAATCTAATGCTTCCTCGACTCATTACCAGACATTTTGTCAGTATTTTGACATTATAATGAACTGAAATAGATCTGTAATTGAAATATAGCATAGCATTTCTTTCCAGTTTAAGATAACTGATAATAGGACTTCTCACGGTGTCAGAGGACAAAGCTGCCCTTAAAAAGTGAGCCACCACAGACTTCAAACCTCCCGACAAGAGCAGTTCAGTGAGATGTCTCCAGAAATCCAGGAGGAAATCCTCCAGGCTGGGCACTCCTCCCACTTTCATATTCTCAGTTACCTAATTTACTGATAGGGGACATCAAGGCCTGCATGGTAAGATACACTAATTTTACATAATGTAATATTTCTTCTTAATTAATCCAAAAGCATGTGTGATGAGGTCTGTATCTAACTAATATTGATCTTTCTAAAATTAGAGAATGCTTCATTAATATCTTTGCATAATGATTCTAATTTTCCACTTTAACAACAAATGCCAAAAATTCTACATGTAAAGGTCTTGTGTCAGAAATAGCTAGATTATTCTCCTGATTCCTAGAAATTCAGCTGGAGTTGGAATATGGTGAAGCTAATCTATTCTGAACACAGCTTGTTGAGTTCACATGTAAAATAGGCCAAGGTTTGCAATAAATCTGGAGAGGGAGAATGTCTGAAGAAAAAAAAATCCAATTCTTTTTCCACGAGAGCAATTACAGTGGGCTTTTTTTTAACTTTAATTTTCTTGGCAAATGAGGAATTAATGTTTGTATTCTGAAGTAGACTGCTGAGCCACCTATCAGGACCTATCCTTTCTCCAGGGACAGGGGAGGAACAGAAAGCTGGCTAATTTCTCAATACTTTGAAAACCGAGAACTTAAAATTCAAATGAGCTATTTCTTGCCTAGATCTTTGCAGATGTATGTCACAATAACTAGCCAAAGCCGTAAGACAATAATAAAATCTATATAGGATCTATCCTATAGATAGAGTAGAATAAAAGATGCACATTCACTAGTTTCTGTTTGTTAGGTATAAGAGTTATTAGATACTGCAGGAACTTAATACATTCCATCAATATAGGAGTTTGGGTGGTTTATGATTTTGAGATTAGACTGCAACTTTAAAAACATCTGTCAATTAAGATAGATTGCTGTAATCACAGTAGAAATATGGAGGTCAGCATATCATGCAGTAAGAAAGCCCACAAAAGATGTTTTCTCAAGGCTGAGCATTAATAGTCATTTATTCAGATCTGGGCTTGATGACTGCAAGTATTAAAAATCCAACCAAGTCATCTGAAAGTGTCTCAGTGCATTGTGAAAGAAATATGATGGTCCACCTGGATCTGGATGAGAAACTGCAAGATACGGCGGTGCCACCACCTTCTGATTTCTCAGCTTGCTACACGCTACTTCAGTCTCCTATAACAGAATGGTATTGGTCTTTGTTCACTTTAAGAACGAGACCACTTTTTTCCTTTTAGTTTGGATTATTGAGTCTCTCTACATTCAAGGAAATAGAACTCAGATTTGGGTCCGTTTGAACATCCTAAGAATGAATTTTAACTAGTTTCTGTGGACTGAAAACCAAAGGTGAGGGAACATTTGAGTCATTTGCTCCACCTCACCCCAACCATAAAAATCTCCTCATATGTGGATTATGCTTATGAATGAAATACATCAGAAACTGATTCCACAACCTTTGAATTACTTCAGCAGAAGCTCAGTATTTGCATGTGGTTTGAATAGACCAAATCATGGGAGCACCAGAAAGGGTATCAACACTGTTCACCACCAGCAGCAAATGCAAATTCATAATCACGTAAACCGTGCAGGACATAATCTAAACAGGCATTGAAAACAAAGAGAAATGGTAGAAAATGCCTGTAAGAATGGGAAGCTATAAGAGCAGAGGGTAAAGATACCATTAAAATAGTAGTGAAGAGACACTGTAAGCCTTTTTGGATTATGTTTTGCTTGGTGTCCCCAAGGTTCCCACTCAAAAATAAATTTTCCCCAAAGCTTATGACCTCTCCTGTGTCCTCTTTATAGTCAGCATCCCCTTCTCATATTACATGGGATATATAACTGCCTGAGGACTCTTAACTGCATGCACAAACAGTAACCTCAGCTCCAAAACCCACAGCACAGGTCAGTGCCATGGCTTTAACAGCAAGAGAGAGAGCTGCTGGGGCAGCGAGGGAGGCAATGGAAAGGGAGCAGAGGTCTGTATTGGCTTAGTTTGGAAAGCATCACTCAGGTATTGTGGTAGCTAGAATGAAGTAAAATTAGCAACTGGCTGTGAAATTCAAGGTCCGTGTTCCTCCAGCCAGCACTGAAACCTCTGTAGCCCAGTAAGTGTATCTGGAAGCCAAACTAACTTCATATGGTTCTGCTTTAAAATATCCAGTCCAGTATTTATAGCAGCAGTTCCCCTGTACGAACAGCAGTCTGCTACCTCTGCAATTAGCACCAACATTATTTTTAGGGATCCAAAGTTCCTCCATCAACTATGGAGTACGTGCGCATGAGTGCACCCCTTACCCCCCACCCCAAGCAACACAAATCTCTAATTTGAGATGAAAAATGAAAAAAACACCAGAATGCAGGCTGCCCTTTCACAATGCTTTTACCAACAACTTGAGGCTTTCCTTTTTTTTTTTTTTCAATCAACTGATTACCAAGAAGGATGTCTGAACTACTGAAATGTAGAAAACTCAAACCACATTTTTGTATGGTTAACTGTTCAGCATTTGAATTCAACAGACTAATGTGAATCTTGATTTGCCTTCATATCAACCAAAGAAATTCCACCGAACATCGGATAGGGTCCATTTAGTCTGGGCTCAAGGAAACCAGTGTTAACTGCTCCAGAAGAAGGAACTAACATAATTTAAAATAAACAGTTCCAGAATAGCCAGCTTAGAAAGAAACTTTCCTCATAGCCTCAGACAGTTATTTTATTACTTATTTGAAATATAACATTTTATATCTCTTACAGAAATATATTTCAGACAATTTGGACTATTCAAAGGAACCTACAAGAGGGAGAGGCTCAATTCTTACTCAGTTTTAGTACACCATTAAGCTTACTTCACTTACCTTCCAAAACCCACAGCTTTTCATCTGAACCAGTAGATGTGCACTTTCTCACAAATAATACTCACGGAGATCCTTTTTAGAGGACAAAACCTAATTTCTATCACCCATCATAGCTGGATCGGATCTGACTTGTCCATTATTGGCAGAACAGCACAAATTCCAGTTCAGACATAAATTATTAATTCTGTACCGACTGGCTAGCCCTTGTCTAAGCATAGACATGATGCTTATTGAGGCTTGATAACAAATTGGTGACATCTCAAATTCCTGGCATAATGACTTGTGTATGCTATGCCAACATGTCGTACACACATCGTTCTTCAGTGATATCTAGCACGATAATTAATATCAGTGTAAAGTGAGTCATTTTTATAGCCATTTTACCTGGAAGTAAATGACTAAAAGGATAAGAGGATGAGCTGTATTCGTCAAGCCCACTTTATGATCTCTTAACTTAGAAAATGATAGTATGGATAGCATGAAAATGTAGATGTGTAAGGAAATGTCTAGTCACAATAGTTGCATCTTTTGGGCCTGTCCCGTTTAAATACGTCAGACTCTGACCTTAATACCTAGTTAAAGTGGGTGACGGAGGTTCACACTTCTCTCAGTGCTGCTGGTTTCAGTGTATCTGAAAGGAGACTCAGAAACAGTGTGGTGTCTAATTTACTTGCAAAATCAAAGAATTCCGATTTCAGGGGTTTCATTTAAATGAAAATTCAGATTCTGGAGAAGAAAACAAAACCCACTAAAACAGGAAGGATGGTATTGTGGTTAAGTTTCTAGTATGGGGCTCTGAAGACCTGAATTATGTTCCATTCCTAGCCCTTCTGCAGACTACCTCACTCTGTGACTTTAAGCAAATCACTGAATCTCTTGGTGCTTCAGTTCCCCTTTTCTAAAGATGATGTTGCTGATTTGGTCAGTTTAGATGAGCGCTTTCATGTAAGAGCTACCATTTACAGTATCAGCACAAGAGAGGCTCTAACCTCAAAATACTAATAGTAAAATATGTGACCCTATTTACTTGAACTGTTCTTCCCAGACAACAGCAATTTATTAGACTCGGAAAAGTATTTTTGTTACTCATTGACAACTGTCTTCATAACAGTAACACAACTGAGCTGATTTAGCATTCCCATATCAATTCCCACACTGATTAGCCACTTACTATACCAAATTCTAACCAACATGCTATTCCACAGACACATTGACCTGCCAATTAATCCAGCTTCATAACAGAATCAGTCTGCTTCTATTCTCAAAAATTAGGAACAAAGCTGAAATGGGGAGTGCCTGCTGATTTTCTAAGCCTTTCGACTTTTTTGATTTTTTTTCTTTTCCAGAGGACTGTCCCTACAGGGGGGATGAATTCAGTGGGGTGTGGAGTGCCCCATAAAGGGAATTTATACTGGGGAATACCATACATGGTATCACAACCTCCCCTGTCTTGGTGGTTTCACAGGGCAAGGAAAGGCTTGGAGCATAAAGGAAGCTCTGCCTGCATGCCGCTGCTGCTAGTAGGACTAAGAGTAGTTTTTGAAAAACAAACTAACACACAGGCAAATGTCCCATGTATCCCCAACAGATACAGTACTCCCCTACCTTCAAACCCATTTTTTCCCCTGCTGCCTACTGGCAGACCTTTCCTGGCATCCATATTCCCAGTGCTCTCTAAACAGATTCCCTCTAACCTTTGCCCCATTTCTCACCAGTAAGCCAGGCTCCTGCTACACAAATGCCTAGCGATTCTTCTGAATTTTCTGTCATTTTCCAAACCTATGTTTACAAAATAGGGGTAAGGACTTTTAACAAAATCGAGTGACAGAGCGCAGATCCGAATCATCTGAACTAGCAGCAGGTCTTTCAGCTTCAATCGTTTCTAGAAACCTTCTTTGTATGTGTCCTCTGCCCAATTGCTCTGCACCGGCTCCAAATTTACACACTGCCCTCTACTGGGTAGAATATCCTCATTTTATCCAATCCTTCCAGCATGGAGCTCTTTTCCAAGGCCCAGATTATGGGGATTTTAAGTAGAGGGAGAGGAGGTAAGAAAGTTAACAGAAGTATGGGAATGGAGAGTTGCAAAAGGAAACATGAGTGGGTAAAAGTGAAAATATCCCAAGAAAGCTCAACTCGTGGGACCCTCAAATCTAAAACCCCAGCTCTTCCTATCACACAATCTTCACATTTTCCTGTGATTACCATTGAGTCTACTCACTGCATGGAGCAGACTACACCAAAGCAAACAGCAAAACATTTCTCACTATTGCACGTTCAAGTCTCCTTCACATATTACGGCTGATGCCCACTTCTCCTGGGCAAGCCTTTTTAAGGCAGTTTACGGAGCACCCTGGACCACTCTCATTGTGATTCATGTGGAGATGATACCAAACTCCGTGAGCAGCAGCCTGATGCTGCTTTTGGTGTCCAAGCTGGCAGGCTCACTCCATTTCTTTCTTCAGCAACTGGGAGTTCACCTACCCATTCGAGCCCTGCCAAGCTCTGAAGCTTTGCAACTAAATATTACCTGCTCAATGAAGAAGACTTTTTGGACAGACACTTTGTCAGCTGCACTACTCAGTACATGGCAGACAGACTGCTCATGCACCTGGAGGATCTTTCTTTCCCCTGTGATCTTACAAAATTATATGAGAGTGGAACAGCTTTCCTGGCATGCCTACAGCAACCTGCAGCCAACCTCATCTGAAAAACATTTGTACCACTGTGCTGCATTACAGCCATACTGTGCTCCACTCCTTAAAGCCACAGCGATGGCAGAAGCCAGCGGTGCAGTTGTGGGAAGGTAACTCGGCTGGGCACCTCAGGGGCTAGGTGAGGAGTTAGAGGATCTGAGCTGTACTTTTGGCTCTGATTTACCTTATTGTGACACAGCTAAGCACCTCAAATCTCTTTTCTTTGGAGGGGTAGTGGGGAGGAAGGAGCCTTTGTCTTGCCTAAGTAGACTTCAATCTGTTAAGGAAAAGGCCTGGTTGCACCACCTGTCTGAACAGGAACAGTGCTTTATACAAAACAGCCATTGAATCTACTCACTGCATGGAGCAGACTACACCAAAGCAAATGGTAGCAAAACATTTCTCACTATTGCATGTTCAAATTCTAAAGTAAGTTTCAGTTCCACCATTCCTTCATGCTTTTGTTTTACACAGAAAAGCAGCTGAGCTTCCCTCCCCCAGCTGCTTATGCCAAACCTTAGCTTAAGCTCAGTTGCTCAAAAAGTGTTTGAGAGAGGATTCTGAGCACAAAGTGAATCTCTGTGCCAGATCTTTAAATTAATGATGAGCTCTGTTTCTCCAAATTCATGACAACTGCACTCTCATATGACAGAATATAAGTGATAAACTTCTTCCATGGCTAAAGCATCATCAGAAACGTCCAGGTACACTGGCTGCACATGACTGTAAGGCCATTCAGGTTAATTCAGGCTGTGACCACACTGGATTTTGAAAAGAATATTCAGTCTCAAAACAGGAAATAAATTCCCTCGACTTCATCCCAAAAGACAACTCACAAGTCTTTGCCAGCCCCTGTCCCCTTAATCAGAAGTATTTCCTTTTCATCATCACAAAACATCATATTGGCTGCAAGGGGAAAAACATCCTCTCTCTACTCCTGATGTAAAGAAGCATTCTGGCTGCAAAACCTGTATGTCATACTGCACACCCCCAACCACATGTGCAGATTCAAGAGCCAGTGGAATTCTTCACAAAGTTTCTGCATTCTTGCACCTGCCTATGCAGGTAAATTACTGTGCGAGGTACCTATTAGGGCACTTGTCTTCCAAAAAGACAAGGAATAATCAGAAGAAAGACTTCCTGGCCTTTTAAACAGGTGTTGGTTACTACTTTAAGAAACATCTCCTTTGGAAGAAAGCAGACTTTACTGGGGCCTGCTTAAGGGAGCATGTAAGACTGGTTTGGTACTTGAGGTTTCATATCTCCCTCTGGGCGAGCAGAACAGCATCCCAAGCCTTCTGCACTGGCTGCTGGCAAGGTTATAAATACAGCTGGGGATTTGAACAGTTGCTTTTAAATCTGATTACCCTGTAGAAAACCCCAGGGAAATTCTGTTCTGAGAACTCAAACCCCAGTGCAGCAGGCATCTGCACTGTCCTCTCAGTGGAAGTATCATAGATTTCTCTGAATGTTTTTCTCTTTAAAATTATTATTATTGGTCTAAATTTGCTCCCCTTCTTGGCCATTTAAGTTATACATTAAGTCCTCTCACCTGTTCTGTCCACGCTAACCTGTCAGCTTTTAGGAGAGCAGCTACATTCACGTTAAAACTTCCCCCCTTGGTTGGTTGCTTGTCTTGCCATTTTTTCCCCCCGTTTTGAGCTAGCTGCCAGGTCGGAGCCTCGCTCATCACCTACCTCTAGCGTCCCCTCGCCTCCCTTCGGCCTCGGAGCGCTCCCGTGCTCGGGCTTCCCGGGTAGCACCTCCCGCCGGGCCAGCCTGACCCTGCACCCGCTGCCTGCCGCTACCCCGGGGCACCGCCTGCACCCCCGCTTCGCTGGGGCTGTCCCACAAGCCGAGG